GTAACTGTGGAGACAGCCGTAACTATGAGTGAGGACCAGGGTTTGAGAAATTCAAGGCAGGGGCTGTTCCCCAACGCTCACCCCCAGTACTCTATTGGACCCAAGTGCTTAAAGAAATTGGACAGTTCCTATTTCTACCCACCTTGCTGCTTCCTTGATGATGGATTCAAAAAATAGTTTCTTGACTTCTATAGGTCCTTGCACTCCTTCAAGCAATTTGAAGATTTTTTCGTATTCTGAAGATGTTTAAAAAAAACCTTCAGTATTATCAAATATAAAGAATACAAGAGAATGTATACCTCAGCAATCATGATTCACAGGCTAAAATGTTTTAAATCCTTAAATCAAGATACCTGCACATACAAAAACTAAATAATAAAAAGACACCTGCACATACATACGAATGAAACTCTTTTAACCATAACCAAGCAGAAAAGCAAAGCAAAAGGTGTACTATGGTTTAGTCAAAGAAAAGAGGAACTACCGTAAATTATGGGCAAACTCAACTCTGGCAAAGAATGAGTCTCAACAGGTAACATGGATATCTTCTGAATCATAGAAAGAGAGACTTCCTATAGTTTTATAAAACAGACATTCTCATACTACTTACTTCGTCCAATGCTTCGAATTTCCTTCACTAATTGACGTTTTATATCAGCATTAATTTCTTCTTGGCTTTTGGGAATAGGGTCTATTTCTCTGCATTTTAGGTCATCTTCAGAGAAATTGCTGGTAATGATTCCTCCCACAGGTGCATTGCTACCAGGTTTCTGCATCAGCTCATCTTTGCTGAAACCAGCGAAGTCATCAATCTGAGAATCCAACTGGCTTGGTAGAACACCATGTCCTGTCTTATGCTCTGGTGAAACAGATTTTGACAAAAAGCCATCAGTTGGTGTTTGACCACTTTCTTTCCCCTCCACATAGATATCATGAATGACAGATCTGGAAACCAAACTGAGAAGTTGAGCTGTGAGAAATGTGTGTTTCATCCCTCCTCTGGGTACATCTATGGGCTACTCAGTTTCTAGGGAATTATTTATTTCATAAATGGGAAGATACACCAGGGGGAAATCCCAGACCTGACGAACTGAGGCCAGGACACATAATACAATAAAACCACCTCTTATTTTCTGGCCCTATGAATAGATATGGAAACCAAGTAAGACAGTACAACTCTAAAGCAACATTCACAGATCCCTGGTACTCATGGGATAGTTTCAGCTTGTTATGCTTTACAAGTTGAAAGCAGCAAGTCTCACTTGATATCGTGATTTCTCAAATTCACTTACAAACTGCCATGCTTTACTGAGCTGGAAGCCAGACAACTTGGATACACCACAAGCAGCCTCCTCTCTACATCAAATATATTCCAAGAAAATAGAGGTGGCCATTACTGCTGAAAGTGCTATATGCACTCCATCACCAAAAATCCCTTTTAGTGTATGATTTTCCTCATCCTTCCTTTCTGTCCCAGAAAATGACTTTCTTTTCACTCTAGGTCTGACACCTCTCATTTATTCATCGTCTGTGGCAGGCAGCATGCTAGTAGCTGGGGATCAGCAATAAACAGCCCAGAGAACAACGTTCCCTGCCCTTGTGGAGCTCACATCTTCATGGGGCGGTCAGACAGTACAAGCACAATAAGCAAATGAAACAAATGGCATTGGGCTAGTGGTAGGGAAGCCGTCCACAGGCCTGTGGGCAACAGCAGCAGAGGGAGCCCCAGGAGCTCTCACTGGTTGTGCAGAGCCTTCTGTGGATGTACCCTTGGGCAGGGCTTGAAGGAAGAAGCAGAGCTGCCTGCGCAGAGGCAGAGGGGGCGTTCCAGGTTGCCATGAGGCCAAGGGTATGGACTGGAGTGGGGATGGACTGGAGTGGGGATGGACTGGAGTGGGGATGGACTGGGAAGGACAGAAGCAGAGAGAGTCAGGAGATGATGGGCCCCTGTTAGGAGAGGGTGACAGAGGCCAGGCCATGCAGAACCTTGCAGACAAAAGCTGGTTCACAGTCAGTTCTGAGTGCTTAGGAGAGTTGAGGATGGATGTTCAGGAGTGACATGCAATGATGTGATTTACATGCCAGCATGATGAACTGGCTGTAGGGTTAGAGCGTATGAGTTAGATGGGGACAGTAATGGGAAACGTGGAGGTATCACAGGAGCTCAGTGATTGATCATGGCAGACTGGAATAGAAGGAGAGAGAGAGATGTCGGGGTTCAGAAATTTTTTACAGTATTTAGAGAAGAGAAGAAAAAGAAAGGTAGAAAGAATGATAGGGGTCGGGGGCGGTGGCTCGTGCCTATAATCCCAGCACTTTGGGAGGCTGAGGTGGGTGGATCACCTGAGGTGAGGAGTTCGAGACCAGCCTGGCCAACATGACGAAACCCCATCTCTACTAAAATTACAAAACTTAACTGAGTGTGGTGGCTGGTGCTTGTAATCCCAGCTACTTGGGAGGCTGCGGCAGGAGAATTACTTGAATCCAGGAGACTGAGGTTTCAGTGAGCCAAGATCGCACCACTGGACTCCAGCCTGACCGGGAAGAGCAAAA